ATTCTGGGTCCTTGATAAAAAAAAAAAAAAAAAGGAAATGTATCAAAATCCCCTAAATGACCAACATCTAGCCACATCATTCTTTTTTTATAACCTCATAAAAAGATCTGTGGCAGTATCATGGTACACTAATGGTATCAGGTTAAAATTTGATATTGTACTGAATACCATGACAGAGTCACCACTGATAAATTACTCCTAATTGTAATGTAGAAACTTTCATTTTCTGTGAAGCTGCTTTGCATTGATGTGTATTGTGAAAAGTACTATACAAATAAACGTGAATTGAATTGAACTGAATGATGAACATGCATCATGATGTTACCATGACATGACAAGGTATTTCAAAGAGCAACATGGTATTGACATGGAATATGTCCAAAAGCATGGTGCCATGATACATGTTCAATAAAAAAAACGAAACGAAACCCTGAAACGAAACAAAGCACAAAAAACACACACACACACACACACACACACACACACACAGTCCAAACGCGAGCCTCGAGAGCGGATTATCGATGAGGTACAGCGGACTGATCTCCTTATCGATTATTACAGTATGTATCGAGGCCTGATCGACCAGTCAAACTCACCCTTCAGCAGCAGCGTGGCTGGAAACGCCAGTAAGAGCAGCAACAGCAGCTTCTGCAGCAGTTTCATGATTCCAACAGTGAGGATCAAATGAGAAAATACTGAGAATAAACGCGAGAGAAACACGCCTGACGCGCTGAGCGAGTTTACACTGACGAACCGCCTGACGACGCCTGCGCTCATCCGGGACACCGCTGACGTCACACGCACAGAGACACGTGTCGATTTCTGCGGAGATCCACGCATGCGCCACACGCTCACAGACAGACTAATAACAAGTCACAATGCTGGACAAAGCTTTTTATTGATTATCAATTCAATAACTGCGAAACTCTACAAGGTAAATAGCGTTAACAGAAGGCAGTGACGCGGGTAAATAGATCAAAGTGACGACAAGTGAGAGAGTTTATAATAAAGTAAATAAAACCATCAATCACACTGACAACCTGCTGATGTTTAGCTCATAATTCATCTAGTGTCATGCAGTTATCACGTACTGTGACAGATCCTGATTGAGTTCACAAACACTGTTCAGGCCGATCACATGTCTGTTAGCTGACAGATCAACATGCTACTAAAGTAAATAAACCAGACTAGTTCAAGAGAACAGCACTGAACAGGGAAGCACTGCTCGCATTTAACCACTATTCCTCTTCAAAGCAGGTGAACACACATTACACATAAACAAACATTAGAAAAAGAGTGGTTTCTACACACAGCAGATGATGGTTTTCTACATCACATGGCTTTAGTGCAGATCTGAGCTGCAGTCGTGTTCTTCTCATCAAACATCATGCATCTGTTCAACCAGAAACTAAACTAACTGTTATTGGTTAGTAAACGAACCCTCTCAGTCCACAGCCTGAGTTAACATCGCTACTAGTTTATTTCAGAACTAGTCTGTGACTGACGTCACTAGTAATGTGTGATGATGGCATAATAAACGCTGATGAAGAACAGATCATTAGTGTGAATGACTGGATGAGCTCTGCTGCGCTGGGCAACAATTACACATTAAAGTTAAAGAAAGATGATGAAACTAACCTCATTCAGCTATCAATGACACAGTTATTGATTATTATCAACCTCCTCCATTCACTATCAGACAAAATAGCTTGTTACTGCCACAGAATTAAAAAAATTAAAAGTAGGCTAACTGCAAATGTTTCTCATTTAAACTTTTTACTCAATTCTGAGACAAAAAGTCAAAATTGCAAGATAAAAACTCAGAAGTGAAGTTTTTTTGAAAATTGCATGTTTATGTCTTGCAATTCTGAGAAAAAGTCTGAATTGAGATTTAAACTTTCAGTTACAGAAAAAAAATCAATCACTTTTTAATATATTTATTCTGCAGAAATAAGCTTCCATATGAATCTAATGATCGCTTGTCTTTTAGCAGACGTCTGATCAAACTCTTCAGACTGCTGTGATTGTGTGATGATGATCTCAGTGTAAACTCTGCACGTAGTTCGCCGGAAGCATGCCGGACCTTCCGGTGCGCTGGACCGTGCCGAACATCCATCCCTCATCGATGGGCTGCGCGTTAACGATCACGTCTCCGTCGCGGAAGGAAACCTCGTCGTGATCGTGAGCGGCGTAATCGTACAGCGCCCGGTACACCCTCTGCTGGACACACACACACACACACACACACCATTCCCGTCCCATGTGTTCACAATAAACAATTGTTTGGTGGAAGAATAAAACACAGATTCAGTATTCCTCAAAATGAATAAAAATAATGCAACTCAGAATATGACGCAAACCTGCAATAATTAAATGTTAAACAACACAAATATCCTTTATGTATTTAATCCCATTCTATTTGCTTCTGATGATCCAGTTCAACCGTACTAATAAGCACAAATTACTCTATGAATGAATTGTTGAAATGTCTTCTTCTGCGTTCTACTGTACGGACGTAAACTTACTTTCCCTTCAGTCTGAGGCTTATTCATTTCACTTTTGGTGTGAAAAGGCTTTTATATTTGCCAAAAATAGAACTTTTTTATTTTAAAAACAAACAAGCAAGCCCTGTCCAGATTTAAAAAGTAACGCAAAAGTAACGTAACACATTACTTTCCATAAAAAGTAACTAAGTAATGTAATTAGTTACTTTTTTATGGAGTAACGCAACATTGTAACGCATTGCTTTTAAAAGTAACTTTCCCCAACACTGATTATAACTCCGCTTCACGTCGTACCTAACAACGCTGTTATAAACTCACTGTAAACCACAGCTTCACGGGGCTTATTGCTTTAGTTAGTGACGTAATCCATTACATTACACATTTTAATCAGACTACTTTTAGATTACTTTTGACCCAACTCGTTTATCATATTGATTTAAATCAGATAATCTCGTACCATACTGATATAAAAATGCAAAGAAAAAGAAAATATATTAGATTTCTTGTTATTGATATAATGAAGTGCACTAAACAGTAGGCTACATTATGTCAAGGTTTCCCAAACTGGGGTTCGTGAACTGCAGGGGGTTCACGAGTTTAATGAAAACTAATAATTAAAAATGTAAAATAAATAATTTTAAAATAACAACAATCAAAATAAAACACTTACTAAAAAAAATGTAATAATTTGTTTACCTGCATGTCATCTGACCATTAACAACATCAGAGACCCGTGAACATGCAAATGTGTTACTGAATAATTAACTTATTACCTTAAAATCTCAATTCAAGTAAATATATTTGGTTAAAGAGATTCGGCCAAAATTTTTTGGGAATGCCTGCATTGCATGTAAATAACAAATAATGTGAATTTGAGCAGTTTAATGTGTTTGATCGAAAAAAGCCTTCAAAACACACAGTAATACATGGTTAAATAACCTACTGAGTGATAATTCAAATAAACATTAATGTATTCATCATTACAGAAACACTGAGAAAACATTTCTTAAAATTAAAATGATTTCTGTAAATCCAGTGGTCAGATGACTGTATCGACTGATCTCTGTGTGAAACTGAAGACTTTCTGAGTGTATATAAGCGGTAGGATATTTTAGAAAGGAACATTTAAAAGATGAAAAAGAGGAATTAGGGAGAATCAATAAATGATGCATGATATAATGCTATTGTGTGAATAATATGTAATCAATATAAAAGTAACTGTAGTTGGATTACGAGTATTTTAAAATGTAATTTAATCTAATTACAAGTACTTACTTTTAGGAATCTGATTACGTAAACCAGATCACATGTCATCAGTTACTACCAGCTCTGTTTGGCACTGCACTCGTGTTTATATAGCTTATATATAGTTATAGTTATATTATAGTTATAAAGTTGGGGCTTGTTTCTCTCTCACCATGGAGTGTGGAGGAGACTGAAGGCTGTGTCCGTAACCCTGCTGAGGATGATGGGAGTGATGCTGGAACACACCTGTGATGAACAACACAAACAGAGAGTCAAACACTGCAGACTTCACCTGCTTCATCACACCTGCGGACGGAAACCCTGATCATCGTTAGTGAGAGTGAAGGAGTGAATCTGATCGGTGAAGTCGGAGTCACACACACACACACGCGTGTGTTATTTCAGCGGCATGCGTCCGTGATCTTGCCTGAAGTGGATCGGTCCTGCAGTGCAGAAGCGCTGCTGCAGACAGACACGCTGCGATCGGCCCAGAGCTCTGAGCCCGGAGAACTGCACACCGACTGCTGGGGGCCACGCTCTAACACACACACACACACACACACACACACACACACACACACACACACACACACGCGTGAT